AAAGACACACAAAGAAAGACAACCTTGAATGCTTAGATCCCTCATAAAGTTCTTCATTCATATCTTCAAGCAACTTATAAAACTTTGATGCTTCTCTATTTGGTTGTTGGTCACCTACACCTATCCCATGTTCACCAAAATTATTCATTTCAATATTTGACTCATTAAATCCATCATCTCGAGGAGATGAATTATGAAAATATTGGTTATGAATGTTGAAAGCATCCCACAACATGCTTTCTATGTCATCTTGTCTAATAGAATCATGTTGGTGTTATGGAGCCTTTGAAGTTAAAGAACTCTAGTCGCTAACTTTGATGATATAGACTCTTCATGAAAATATCAATTAACATATCTTGAGATAAATCCAATACAAACTAAATGTTCTAAAACAACTTCACAGATTTGCTAATCGATACTAGCACACCTTAAACATGGGCATAATATCATATTATCTTCACTAGCATTATCATATGCAAAATTAAGAAAAATTTTCACTCCATCTTGGTACTCTTGACTTAATCTTGACTTTTGCATCCAACTCTTATCCATTTAGTATTTGCTACATTATCAAACCAAAATTATATAATTAATTATATGAAAACAAAGTAAATACTACACTTAAATTAATAACAAATTTAGATCTCCTAACAAGTTACTTGAATTAATCAAAGGTGATTATTTATTGAAAAGGGAAATACCTTCACAAATTCAAAACACTAATAGGCAAAGACACGATTGATAGAAATGGAGCCATTGATGATGAGCAAACCTTAATCTCTAACTAAAATAAACCAAAAAAAAAAAGAAACATGTTAGTATTTTTACATATTAATATACAAGAAGAGAAAAAAATTGAAAATAAATAGTCAAATAAAAGTAAAAAAATATTTGACAAAAAAAACATTCGACAAATAGCTATTTAAAACATCTCTATCTTGACCATCCTTAATAATAGGGTGAAATGAACCACCTTAACAATATCTTTGAGCCATAGTTGAATTTTGTTTGACTCTTTGGATTGATTGAAGAACTAATATTGAAATTATTATGCCATTGGTACAACATGTTTACTCTCGATGTTGAGTCTCATTTATAATGAACCCAAAACTCTGGCCATCAATGCCAGCTGACTTTAGGTAAAAACCACATACCACACCAAATTTGAACCATAAAGTATAGATACTTTCAATTTATTAAATGTAACTTATTGCTTTCAATTTGTTCCTTATAATGATTTTAGCCTAGAGATATCTTAAAAGAGAGACAAACTACAGCTAAGATTTGAGTGTACCTAAATAAATGGAGAGGAAATTGATTGTTGTTGACTACAAACTACAAATGATTTCAGCAACAAACCAAACCTTGCCTCAAGCTCTGCAAATTACAAACAATTTTCAGTATCTCAAAACCTTGCTTGCTGAGAAGAAAATTGCGTGGAGGAAATCCATCAAAAACAAGAAGACCAAGGTTGTAAATGGAGAGAAAATCCACAAAAAAAGAAGAATTAGACTTAAAACAAAAATAATTGATTGAAAAAATGTAGTATGAATACGACTAGAAATGGCAGGGTTTGGGAATTTAAGGAATTTTTAATGGTGTTTCCCTTTTTAAAACGCCACCAAATACCTTATTTAATGGCATTTTTTTTAAATGCTACTAAAATACATTTAAAATGGGGAATTTTATGTTATTGAAAATAATTCTTTTTAGATTATTCAAGGCATTTTTTTCCATTATTCGAGATTATTGAAGGCATTTTTGGCCTTGAATAATAGGGTTATTCAAGGTGTTTCTTGTAAAAAATGCATTCAATAATCCTCTTCAATTTTTATGAGAGGATTATTCAAGAAATTTTTGGCCTCTTGTTTTTTTTTTTTTGGTGGATTATTCATGGCGTTTTGAGCCAGAAATGCCTTGACTAATCCCTTACAAAAAATTGAATGAGGTTATTCAAAGCGTTTCTGGCCAAAAATGCTTTGAATAATCTCTTTCAATTTTTTATTGGAGATTATTGAAAGCATTTTTAGTCAGAAACACCTTAAATAACGGGGTTATTCAAGACGTTTTTGGTCCAAAATGCCTTTAATCCTTTTCAATTTCTATGAAAGGATTATTCAAGGCATTTTTTATCAAAAATGCCTTGAATAATTTGGGATTATTTAAGATGTTTTAGGCCCAAAATGCCTTGAATAACTGATTATTCAAGGCATTTCTGACAAAAAATGTCTTCAATAATCCTATTCAATTTTTATGAGGGGATTATTCAAGGCGTTTTTGGTGAAAAACGCCTCGAATAATCCCTTTTTTTTTTGGATTATTCAAGGCATTTTTGGCTAGAAACACCTTGAATGATCGATTATTCAAGGCGTTTTTTTGTCAAAAATGCCTTTAAAAATTCGTAATAAAAGATTGGAGCGTATTATTCAAGGTATTTTTAGCTAAAAACGCCTTCAATAATCCTTTTCAATTTTTGTGAAAGGATTATTTTAAGCATTTTTCAAGATGTCTTTGGTTAAAAACGCCTTGAATAATCCCCTATTAAAAACACTAGAGCAACTCAGTCAGTTATAGCATATGGTTATTAACCATAAAGTCTTAGGTTCAATCCCTCCCTCTAGCATTTTAAAGGTTTTTTAAAGAGTCCAAAAATGCATATTAGCGGCGTTTACATTATAAACGCCGCTATATTTATAAAAGTCAAAGTACATAGTGACGTTTAGGTCAACAAACACCATAAAAACATATTTTTAGTGGCATTTTTAAATCCAAACATCGCTATATAAGAATTTAGTGTCATTTTATAAAAAAAAGTCACTAACCTTATAAAAACACAAAACTTTGTGGCGTTTATTTAAAAATCTCACTAAAAAATAGCCACCAAATCTCCATTTTCCTGTAACGTTGGAGGTGTCTTCAGCATTTGTACTTCCATGTTTAAGTCAATGCTTAGAAGAAAAAAAGAGAAATAAGGAAAGGAAAGGAAAAAGGATAGTAATAGATAAGAATTTCTTGGGATTCAATCCTTTTACCTATAATGAAAATAAGGTATTTATACTTGTAGAAGAGAGATTGGATCAGAAAGCCCTAGTTTGGAATTCGAAGACCAATCTGACATAGGCGATCTAGGTTAACGTGGCGAGCCTATTTCCAATATTCATGAGACAAATCAATGTTGTCACACCCCTACCAAGTGGGACATTATGTTGGCATCGATTAGATCAGTTTTGAGAGGTAAGGTCAACACACGATGTTGGCTCAATTAAAATGCCCATGATGCCCTTCTAGCTTTGCTAACTTACTATGAATAGTGAAAAGACTGTTTTGCCCACTGGACCTAAAAATGCACTCATCAAAACTATTTTAATGCATGATGGCAAACTAATTACATCAAAATTTTGCAAAATTCTAAGAATCTCATTTTCATATATTCTTTTTTTTATGAAATTACAAATATAGAAGATATTACAATCATAATTAAATATTATATTCATATATAATACAATCATAATTAAGTATTAAATTCATATATAAAAGATCATTGAATAATCAACCAACAAATTAGAATATAGCTAGACAAATTCAACATAAAATTGAAACAAACTCACGCACAATTGGACTTGAAGCTAGAACCTCAAGGTTCTAGGGCCTCCTCCTTACTACTAATGCTAATAATGTTTTCAAAAACAAATTGCATTTGTTTCCAGTAAAAAGGGAAAGTAAAATAGCCTTGTAAGTATACAAGATGACAATGAATATTAAAGGAAGTGAAATGAAAGAAAACAAAAAAAAAATTTATATACTGAATCAATCCAAATGGGGTAGAAAAGTGTCCTAAGCATCAAAAAAATTAAAAAATTTGAAGAAACTTTTTTTTGAAACTTTTAAAATTTTTTCTTTAACATCCTTCCTATTAATAAAATTGATAAATTTGTCAAAATTTTTGTATATATATTATAAGTATAACATCTAAAAAAATTCCAAATTCAACAGTGTTTACATGCCACTGAATCTAGCAAAAAGAGAAAAAGAATTCATAAAATTAGTACTAGCACATAGGTTATGTATAGATGATAGAGAAATTTGAGAGGAAAAGATAGACTAAAGGACTTGTTATGTTGAAGATTCGGATCAACAGGCAAACATCAGAGAATTAAATCTCAAATTGAAAGAGAATAAGTCAAATATGAGTTTTTTTTTTTTTTTTGATTCAAAGAGAAGTATCAGTTGATTACATCCACTACCAGAAAAATGGTTTCTTGATCAATCCCGTATGCAACAATGGAGGCAATAATCTATAATATAAGCAAAAGAGGAAGAGAAGATGTAAAACAAATGCATCTAGAAGTTTTCTTGTTTCTTTTTTTTTTCTTGATAAAATAGCTGTTAGTAGTTTTTGAATTAGTCAATTATAGTTTAAATAGGGTTAATTAAGTTTGATTTACTGTTGGTACATAGGTCTATAATATTACTCCCCGACCTTTTTCCTTGTCTTTAATTATTTTACTTTTACCAAGTTTAACAAAATTTTTTACTTTATTGTATTTTATATTAAACTTTTAATTTCTTTCATTAAATTGAACTATCATAATTTTTAATATAAAAAAGAATTTAAAAATTAAATTTTAAAATATAAAAAGATAAGAGAAATAAGTGTTCAAAAAATAAAAAATGATATAAATTTGAAACATCTTTAAAAATAATAGACATAGAAAATGAGACGGAATAACTATTAATTATTTAGTTTTAAAAAATACATGATGTGAATTTGTTTAGCGCTTTTAAAATCTCACTTTTAAACTCAAATAATATATCTATAATATAAGTAAAATATAGAGAAAAATAGGTAAGAATTTGCAAGCTATATAAGTCCTAAGGAAATCTAGGGATAGAAAAACAAAATTAAATGCATTCAACACCAAATCTCAACTTATAAACCAAACTAAAAGAGATTAGTTTGATAAACCCTTCAACTAAAGGAGAATTTTTAATTCATGGGACATCACTTCTTGTCCTCCTCAATGGCCACTAAAGAGTAGAAATCGTCATCAATACCACCCTTGAGCTTTAATTCTTCAATTCTCTCAACAGCATCTTTCAAATCTAATCTCTTCTCCACATCCACTTCACAGCAACTCAATCCAATCTTCAATAGCTGGAGCATTGACTCTCCATCAGTACTGTTCCTTGTTGCTCCCATATCTTTGTCGAACACCTCCACATCCGTCGACATCATTTCTTGATCACCAACTACCGACTTCACCCAAATTGCCAAATCATCTTGGTCACTTCCTTTGCCCTTTTGCAAGAAGTTTGCAGGGAATTTTCCGGTTAAAATCTCTAAAATCAATACCCCAAGACCCCATACGTCGGTCTTCTTTGTAATTCTTCCATGCTGCACATATTCAGGTGATTTGTAAGCCACCATGAGCTCTTGAGCACTCTCTTGGTTGATTACAGGGATCAGACCGTAGTCGGTGAGGAGTGGTTCAAAGGATTCATTAAGGAGAACATTTGAGGATTTGAGGTGACCATGTGGTGCAATCAAACTAGGTAACTCCTTGTAGAGGTATGCAAGGCCCTTGGCTACTCCTTTCACAATCTTCAATCGAGTTGGCCAATCAAGGACCGGTTGCCCCAGAGATTGGTGACCTGAAAATTAATCAAATGAGGAACAACTAGTCAAACCTACTGTATATATATGTGTGTGTGTGTGTGTGTGTGTGTGTGAAAATTCATGTTTTTTGTGATAATGGTATTTGCATGTAATGAATAACAAACCATGAAGATGAACAGCCAAGCTTCCTTTTTTAACAAAATCGGTGACAAGGAGCTTCTCTTCCTTCCTATAATAGTAGGCGACGAGTGGAAGCAAGTTATTATGTCTCAGTCTCCCTATTCTCTTCATATGCTCTTGGAATTCTTCTTTCCCAAAGTTATTCATCTCTTTATACCTCTTCACCACCATCACAGGCCCACCTGATAGAGCAGCCTTGTAAGAAGAGCCAAAGCTTCCACTTCCCAATATCTCAGCAGAGGCTTTTAGCAAGTCTGGCAAATCAAACCTCTCTCTATCATCCCTCACGAAAGAAAGTTTTACAGTCTCTGCCTTCTTTCCATTCCCTAATTGCTGTGAAAACCCTGGGGAAGCATGTTCTTCTTCCTTGAAACCTGCTTTTGTTCCGAGGTTTGACGCTGGAGCTTCTACTGATAGCGTTGGTTGCCTTCCGCGTCGATGATTGATTAAGATGACGGCAAGTATGGCAAGTAGTATGAACACCCCAAATATGAAAAGGACCACAATAATCCATATTGAGGGCTCCTTGGAGTTAGAGTTTGGAGCAGCACTGGAGTCACATGTCTTCAATGGTACTCCACAAAGACCTTTATTGCCTGCATATAATTGAGATTTGAGATCAAAACATTTATACATATGTGATATATATATATATATATAAGAACATTTATATTATCACTCAAGCTAATTGTTAAAGTCTAATGGCAAATGACACATAAAATTTCATATATAGACGGAAAATTCTATATAGTCTGAATCAAATGCTTCATTATTTTTTGCTAAAAAGAAATACAAGATGGATTTTATTTATTTTTCATTATCCTTTGCATAATAAAGTCAAAAATAGTTTCCTACAATTTGTAACCAAATTCCCATAATCCTAATTCAACGTATAGAAGATCAGTACTAAAAACATAAGAAGTTTTCGAATGACATTAAAATAAATAGAAGTTTATGATGATTTCATTATAATAAATTTAATAATTTAAAACATGACATGATATAAATATTTGTATATAAGCAATATGATTTAAAATTTTGACAAAATCATATATAAGTTTAACAAAAACAAAAAATATTTTTCATGTTTGACATATTAATACGCATTGTTATATGATAATTTTTATATTTTATATATGTTTGAGACAAACCGATATGACATAAATCCATGAATTATTATATATAAGCTACTGGTAGTCGAATTGAAATTCAATGCAGACGTATGCTGAAAATAAATAGAAGTCACTCACCTGAAAACATGCTGGCATTCATCCTGTTAAGGCTTGCTGGTATAGAACCCTCCAATTCATTATTCGAGAGATCTACTTTTTGTAAGCCATTCTGTTTAAAATCAGGTATTTGACCCGAAAACCGGTTGCCATCAAGTTTAAGCACCAAAAGCTTGGGGAGGGTAGCCAATGATGCAGGAATTGCACCTGTAAACAGATTTTGTGATAGATGCAACTTCTTGAGCCAAATCATACCTGCAAATGCATTTCCAGGAATGTCTCCAGAAAAATTATTCTTTGATAAATAAATTGATTTTAACGCATTAAGTTTGTTCAACTCCGGAATGGGACCATTAAAACTATTATTCATAAAGCTTAAGGTTCTCAAGTTGGACAACCCGGTTAAGGTATTCACATCGATGGTGCCCGACAGTCCCATACTCTCAAGTTGTAGACCCCAAATGTTGCCATTGTAGCAAAGAACGCCAGCCCAATTGGCACGGTGTCCATTGCATGGGGGCATGGAATTGTTTTCCCAATTTTCCAATGAGGAGACATTGGTCAAGGAAGATTTGAACTTGAGAAGGATTTCGGGGTCAGACAATGCATAAGAAGAAACAAAAAGCATGTATAAAAGCAAAAGCGGCTTGATCAGATGAAGATGAAAGGCCATGGCGGAGTTTGTCGGGAGGTAACGCGCACTGATGGGGTGGGGGGGCGTGCGCGCCGCGCCCTTCACCAAGGGAGCCGCAATGCTGAATATTGGTGTTGGAGTTGGGGATAGAGAGAAAAGACGAGATGTTGGTGGAATTTGGATGGTCGGGAAGACACAAATTAAAAGTTGCTAAGAATAGGAGTTGTTAAGGTTGGTCAATGAAAGGAGCATCTGTCACGTTGATAACGTCTTCGTCTTCCTTTCCTGCCATGTTGATTCACAGATGTTCAGTTGTTTATTTTCCTTTTTTTAACTAAATAATTGGGAACAGAGTCAGATTTAATTCAGTAATTTGCAAATCAAATAAAATGAATTGAAAGCAAAAAATAAAATAAAATAAAACAAGATAGTGAAACTCGACCGGAAGAAGTCTAAATTAGTTCACGGGTGGGATTACTTGCTTGATCCTTGACCGAAACTCAATTGCTGAATTTTTTTTTTATAAAATAAATATTTTTTATTAAATTTTAATTTACATATATATAATATTAAAATATCAGTATAAAACAGTTTTCATTATTTTAATAATAAATTGAAACTAAATGAATTTTAATCGTCCGACAAAATTTGAACAAACTTTTTGAAATATCAACATGATCCTACAAAATCTGACTCATTAACACTTTTAAACTCGACTTTCAATCTTAATTAAAAGTTCAAAGTCACATTCTTTATCCAATTAATTTTTCATTGACAATTGTCCTACAAAATAAAATATGTTGATACGAAAACTGTGATTTCGTAGTCAACTATTGATGTTTGAAACTAATTGTATGTTGTTGTCTTCGATTTCATATATATGTTCATTTTCTTCAAAGATTCATTAAAGGTGTAAAACACAACGTGCTTAGAGAGCTGTTTTTGTTATTTGAAATATTGGCAGCAAGATTCCTACAATTTCCACGACACTTTCAAAACAAACATGAGATGAAAAATGCATTTTAATGATAACAAATGACAGCCATCTTATGTAGAAATTATTAACATTTTAGACAAGTTTTTTTTCTTCTTCCTCCAATAAGCCTATATATGCTTTTTGTTAGTAGTTTAAAATACAATGCATCTCATATTGGATAAACAAATTTAATTATTGGTAAATAAATTTAATTTTTGTATTAATTTTATTTATATTTTGAATAATTGTGTGAATAAAAATAATTATTATATGACAAATATTTATAACTATTTAAATATAAATAAATGATTTTTCATATAAATAATGATTGTACAAATGATAATAACCATTTGAATAAAAATTTATATTTGTTAATTGATTATAAATATATCTTCCAATATTATTATTTTTACTACTTTTGATTTGAAAGTTTGAAGTTTTGTTATATTCTAGAAGTATAATTGCCTTTATGAAAGGATTTTTCATGTTTTAAAGCCAATTTTTTTTTTATTGTTTCTATTTTCTTATTTATTGTTTTAACAATTTAAAAACAATTATATAAAATTTATATTTAGTATGAGAAAGATACAAAGAAAAAAAATGACAAAACCAACTTTTAAAACATGTATGAAAATTTTCAAATATCCAAATTATTTTTTTTTTCATTTTGCATCAAAAGAAAATTGTAAAAGTTGTAAATTCATTGGTGTTTAGGTATGCAACTAATTCATTGTTTCATCTTGTTGCATGAATTCAATTTTGTGATTATTTTTACATTACTTCGATTGAAACTTATTAATTGATAATTCCGAAAGTTCAATTGGAATGAATTTGGAAATTTGGCGGGTGTTAGTGCCAAATTAATGGTTGGAATTATCTTGTTTGGACTTTTATAAATTGCTTTATCTATAATGTTGTGTAATTTATTTTGTGCATAATTGCTTGTAAGAAAAAAAACTTAACTCGATGCAATACTTTCATTAGATTGCTATATCAAAACATTGGTTACATCCTGATCATACAACCCCAGCTTTACAAAAAAAAATGAATTCCCAAAGAATGAATGTACATGAAAGAAATGGTGTATTTGGTGACAAGTTCCAACTTGAAACTTGAAACCGAATGAATAGCTTACTTTTGTCTAGTTTTCATGAAAACCATTTGAAATTAAATTGATGTATATGCATAAATATTATCAAAAAGTGGTGTTTCATGTATTACTTAGTAGATAAACCAAATAATGCTTTATTATAAATAAAGCATGTCATTATGGTAGCCTCAAAAGTCTAAAGTATTATTATAAAAAAAAAAAAGGTGACTAGTATGGTAAAGCATGTCCTCTATCTGCTAGATGTGTTGCACTAAAAGTGATTTTTGCAAAAGGAAATTTTATTATGGACAATCACAAAGTGAAAATTCATAAAAGAGTTAGGCTGCACAAAGCACTATTGCTTTTAGTATATGAAAATTGATAAACCAAATTAATAATATATAACACATTTCTGAATGAAATTTGTAGTAGATGTTAAAAGGGTTAAATAGAATTATGAATTTAGAATTGTTTAAACTATTTCATTATTTGCCACATAAATTAATGTTGAATTTATGAAAGAAAAATGTTGCACTATCTTGTAAATTTTATTATGGATTAAGAAATGATTTTTAATTGAAATGAAAAAAAAATATTATATTCTATTTGCATAATTGAATTTTCTAGTCAAAGTAGAATAGTGGGAAAGCATAGGCCTTTAATAATAAAATTACTATTCTAATATAAAAAATAAAACTTTCTAGTGAAATATGTTACACGGTGGTCATGAGTTTAAATTAAATGATGATACCTTATGCAAAATGATTCTTGGGAATCATGTTTCATGACTTACTTTGCCATGGTGATCTAGATATAAACATATTAATCACAAAATAATTGTGAAAGAATTTGAAATTGGAGTTAAATATACTATGAATTCCAATTGTACATAGGCATATAGGTTCTATGAATAAAGTTTGAATTTATATATATTTGAAAATATTTTGACCAATTAAAAGTGATAAATGATAGAGATATATACTTAGGCTGCACAGTGGTGAAGAAATAAAGTTCTTGTAAAATTTTGAAATCAAGTTTGTAGGTTTTCAAAAGCCATGAACTTGGATTTGACAATTGGGTAGTTAATATGTGCATTGGAAACTCATGATAGGTAACATTTGAGGTAGTGGTTTTCACTAAAAGCCATCAGTATAATCGAGATAGTCTCAATAGCTAAATTTACATGATTTATAGGTTTGATATAGATTATTATGGTTAGCTTAAAACAGCCATAAGCCAAACTTGATGCCATAATCTTATAGAAATAACATTATTTAAAAACTAATGACTATCAAAACTATGAATAGGTAGTTATCAAAATCTTGTCTTGACGCTCTCAATTCAATTTTTGTGTTGAGGGTGATTGTGTTGATGGTAAGTTTGTGTCACTTGAAACTACAATAAATAATTAATAACAAATATCCAAACAAACTACAATACACATAATAAGATCAAAACAAATATAAAAACAAAGTGAAAGCAATGTTAACATTCAAATCAATACATAATTATGCAAAGATATTTAACTTGCTTTACACAGTTAGATTGAAATTAGCCTTACCACAAAAGATTGCCCTTTGAAAAGTCTAAGCATTGTAGGTGAAGGTGAGCATTTTGGAATAGCCACTATCATATCATAAATGGCTAGGACAAAAAAAAATGCATATGACTTACAGCTGAAACAAAACCTTGAAGTAATAGAAACTATGCTAATATTTCAAGCATATATTTTTCACATAGAATTACAATTAGTAAGGCCTATAAAGATAAGTGACCATGAACAAAATAAAGACCTTTAGCTTCACTAAGGAGAAAAGTAACACTACATGGAACATGATTAACTCTCAACTATAAGACTGGGTACACATTTGAAAGTACACAAATGTATCATGGTTGAAGCTAGCTAATCATTGAATAACTTTGCAAAAGTAGCAAGAAACTTATGTACCAAAATAAAAGTCAGGCACCAAGATAAAAGGTGACAAGTAATTCAAGAAAATGGGAATAGCAAGAATCTGACCTTTGTTCAAGGAATTAAAACATTTGTAGGTATAGGTAATCCTTGTGAGGTTGCATATTCTTGAGTTGCTAGAAGCTTTGCTTGTGTAAAATGAGTTCCTTCTACAAAAAGTGCTAGCCAAAAGAGCTGTAAGAAGTCTTTTAAATGTTTAAGACTTACTTGTTAATATAATTCCACAAGATTTGAACAAGATCAATGAGTGTAGTTCAAAAACAAGCATGCACTAGCACACAAGTAAATAAAGTAACATATATGGACATGTATATATGTGTAAAATATAGAAAGCGCATCTATAAAATTAAAAGTAAATTTTTACCTTAAACATGTTTTCATCATTAGCCTAGCTCCTTTCCAAAAATAGATACTTAGAAAACCATATTAACCAACTTATAACCTGCACATATCAGACATGAATTTTATTCTACTAAAGTATAGCAAAGTAAAACCTTGTTTGCTTCTCTAATAAACAACTTTAAAAATGACAATCACAAGTATGCAATAAAAATAAAACATAATGAGTTGCCTAGATGGCAAGTAAGGTAAAAGAATTAGAATTCAACTACTTCACTACAACAACTATCATGAGAAAGACTAACACTTAACTTTCATTATGAAATACAAAATTAACTGTACCAGGCACATTATAGCATTTGTTTCATAATGTTCTAGTTAATGTAAAAGATAAACTACTACTTCAATAAAAGACCTGATTTTCAATTATCCATATTAACGTCATGAGTAAACATAACCATCTCTATGAAAAATATTAAGACCATCTTTCATTACTTAAACATGCTCACTTCACACACTATATAGAAGCCAAACTTTAAACTCAGACTAAGAATACAAAAGATTTTCAATAAACAATCCAACTCTAGTTTTACAAGTAAAAGCAACCTGCGAAACGTTTTTTATTTTGACAAGTAATAATAAGGTAAATAAACCCTAGACAACCAATGCAAATACTAGAGTTTCAAACTTCCAAAAAGTTATAAACACAAACCTATTTGTAGAAATAGAGACAACTCTTAGTCGCTCAACAAGTTTTACTTAATACAAACCATCTGAATCTGCCAATAGTTGAATAAAGTGAGCCAAACTAGTTATATTAATCCTAGACCTAAAATCATCAAAATAAACACTCAAAAACATAA